GTATTGGCCCCTTATTTGCTGCTCCTTTGCCTATTCCAGAGACAGGCCTGGTTTCAAAGAAGGGATACCCTGACTTCAGCCTGGAGAAAGGCGACTAAAAGGGAAACTTTAGAGTAGAAACGGGCGCAAATCCTCCGCCAGTTCTCCGTTTGACGGTAACTATTCGCTCCTCTCTTCTCTAAGTATGCTTAGAGCCATCAAGCAAGTCGGGTCGTGAGATCAATACCAATCTTCCAAGCAAATCTGGGGTTTATTGAACCGCTTGAACTTAACAAGCGAAGGCCGTTTGATAAAATCCGGGAGAAGTTGGGGAACAAAAAGAGACAGTGACCGCTTGACGGTGATTGTTTCTATTCCCCTTCACTTGCCAATGTGCCGTCGAAGTATCCGGCTATGTCTGGAATGTGTCTCGTGGGTCAAAAGGATACCTAGTTACCACTTTTCTGAATCAGCACTAGCTGGCTAAAACAGTCCACCACTGCGTCAACCTGAAGCTAGCTGTCTCTGATGCTGAACGTAATCCACGATGCTTGATCGACTCTGGCCAACATTACTCAGAGATCTATCTTTCGCTCTAAGTATGCAACTTTCGATAGAAATAGTTGGTGTCACGGATGTGACTCCTAGGGATGATCTTCGTGGCTGAAATTGCTGTTTCTGGCTCGATTTAATAATAACTACCAGGTAGGATGTTTAAATGATCCAGGGCAATAGTGGCCTGAAGTAGTGAAGTAGAATTAGAATCGCCGAAATTCCTAGTTAGTGGACTGAGTGTATGAATGTTCCTGTCTTTTTCCATATAGGTAAAATAGTAAGTATGGTTGTCATTGCAGTCGTCAAAAATCTTCGCCTAACGCCATACCAAATAGCCACCAAATACACATTTAAGTATTTATTATAAACAAACAACGGGACACCAATATCCCGAACCCAATCCCTGCTTCCAACTAGAAAGGATGGGGTGGGACGATCCTACGAACGCCGGGTTCGTTAAAAGAATCCTTATCCTTAATTCCATCATGCCGAAGATAAAAACCGAATAATGCACCGCTCACATTCCAAAATTTTCTTCCTAGGGCCGGGAAGATGATAAACCCCTGGGCTTATCACAAATCACGCATACGTGTTTGTCGCTTCGCGGTGCCGACATGGGTATTTTGGACCTTTGCAGCGAACTTCAGGCTGGTGAGGGTCTCGCTGAGATGATCCTGCTGCGGACTAACCATGACGAACATGAGTTTCTTCGAATTGCCGCCCAAGGAGAATTGGAGCAGGTAGGTAAGCTGTTATTTGAGATATTGACATTAGGTCAGGACGTAATTTGGGAAAGTTTGGGTCAAAGCTTGCATACCTTGCTGTTTCTATACGGAATATGAGCACCCTCCTTACCCTGTCCCAAAGCACTAATAACATCTCCGAGACAGCTGAGACTCTTATTGATGTTTTGGGTCTCCTTGAGTCTTTCGCCGGTACTGCCACTGTGGCTAAGACGCTCACTTCCCGCAAGATCAACCAGATTCAGATTGCCTTCACTGTGCTCTCCAGTTATTGAGTTGTCACCCACGAGCCGAAGGATGAAGACGGAGTGAGAACGAGACGAGCGTTCATTAGCCTTGGTAGCAGCAACAGACCGATTTGCCCAAGCTCTTTGAAGGATCGATTCCACCTTTTCGGGCGAGTCAAGATTGACGGTGGTGACATTGGTGACAGTGGTTTGGCATTTTTGGAGATCATGCCTAATTTCGTGTTTCTTCTTATCGAACTCTTCAGCTTTCCCTAGGAGATCATTGATGTTTTCGTTGTATACCTCGACGAAGCTTCCCTCCATCGTATACTGCCAGCCTTTTTCCTCGAGGCCGTGGGCGGTGTCATATATCTGGCGAACAGCACGAGGTATCATACCGTCTTCAGAGGACATTGTGTGCGTTTTACCGCTTCCTGTTTGACCATAACAGAATATGCAGACATTATAACCATCCAAGGCACTTTGAACGAGTTGGCTAATTTCTTCGAATACTTCTGCATTCTGCGACCTTGGCCCAAAAACATGGTCGTATGTAAATGAATGTTTCTTTGCACTGATTAGGCCTAGACTTGACTTCTCCTCCGGCCCTTGAACTGCAATCTCTCTGCAATCCATATCTTGGTCAGGGAAAGATATCTTGGCAGTGTTTTCACTCGAATCGCTGGATAGCACTGGACGGACCCGGCAAAAAACCCTGATATTTCCTTTTAGTTCCTGAATCTGGTTATGTAGTCTTCGTCGAAGAGTTTCTTCCTTCCGTAACTGTGCCTTCGTGGCATTGGTCTCTTCTAGTGCCACACGAAGTTCTTCATCAAGTTTTGCAAATGCGTCTGATTGTTCCTTGCTCCCCGATTCCAGAAACTCGATTCTTGCTTTGAGTGCGCGGATAGATGATTCTAGGGTAATTGTATTATTGGCATTCACAATGGAGCTTTGTTGTAATTCCTTGTTAAGTGCATGTTCCCGCGCAAGATCATCCTGCAGCCTCTGTTGTTGGGTGAGTAGATCTTGTATCTCTCGGTCCTTATTGTTTAAATCAAGCTGGTCGCGTTGCTTGTCCAGGGACGACTGAGCGGCGACCTGTTCGAGTTCCTGTGCTCTCAGCTGCCGCTCTACCTCAAGTTCGGCTTCGAATCTGCGTCTTGTCTCGGCAAGCTCGGCTCGGTGCTGTTGCATAAGTGCAGCGATTTCGGCCTGAGCATCTTGACGTATACTCTCAGACTGATTTCGATGCTGGGTTGCAAGTTCACTAAGGGCAATTTCTTGCTCACGGCATAGATCTTTCAACTTTAATTCAGCATTTGTCAACGAGTTTTTCGTGGTCTCAAGTTCGACCCGCAAGTCTGCATTTTGGTGTAGGAGCTTAGTTTGGTTCTCTTCCAGCATTTGGGCTATATTTCGTTTTCAAGAAAGTCAGCAATCGTCTGTGGGTAATACAGTTGATACAAAGTGTTGATCCTACTGCGTGACTTGTATAGATCGGTGGTCTCTGTCATGGCAGCAGTTTGCTTCACCATTTCTTCGACCATTTTTCGGACATGGGTCATGTTATCTGAAATTCTCTGCTCCTTTTCATCTTGATCCCAAGCTTGGACTTCAGTGTCTATAGTTAGAAAACGTTTCACTTTTCTGGGGGAGCGTGGCTTGCGGGTTTTCTTAAGCATGAAAGGGGAAGGGGGAATCGAGGACGCGGTATGAGATGATATCAGGGGGCGAGCTGGGGTAGGAATCTTGGATGGTGTAGATAACTGCGGCTGTGCATTTGGCTTGAAAGTGTCCAAGGAAGGCTTGTGGTTAAGGGATAGCAACTGCATCGCTGTGCATAGAGATGGGTTGCGGGAGGGGGTATGAGCAGGGGATGACATCAATTGCTTGGAAGAACCATCAACTTGGCCGTCATAGCTCTTAGATGAAAGAGATTTACTAGGTAGGCTGGGGCTCGGTGAAGGGGAGTGAGGGGCTGAAGGTGTAGATAAAAGGGATGAGGGCTGACGCGCACCATTTCGGTCTGAGCCAGCATCCCGGCCATCCATAGAGGTCGCGGGCCGCGAGATAGATCCTTTCTCAACATTGAGATGGCCTATTGACGTCTGCGGGCGCGGAATGTTGCGTGTGCCTGGCGGAGGTCTTAGTCTCGATCCGGTCGTCGGTACGCGGGAGACAGCGGTCTTCGAGGCACCCAGACTCTTGGGCAGTCCGGATTTCGTGGAGCCAGCAAATGACTTTGAGGTTAGATTCTCCTTCTTTCTCGGCTCTCCTGCGCGCTCGCTCAGCGTTTTCCTCTCTAGACGCAGTGGGGTAGAAACATTAACAACATCATCCGGTACAGATAAGGACCCGGGGTGGGAGGCTTCAATTGGGTACTTTTGTCACTACTGACGCCCGAAGCCGCCACAGCTCGGCCAGCTGCATTATTCGCGGTGTGTGTGATATCCCTTAGACCCTCCGGCTGCGTGTACGAGTACTTTGGGCGTGGGATGTTGGAGACGCTCGATGCAAGCTAGTTTTCCATGGTCAGCAACCGACGGCGCCAGTGCCAAAGGGGAGGCGGGAAGTATCCCCTCAACTCACTCTGGTCCGCGTATCTTCTTCGTCCATCTCGCCGGGTCGCTCTCCGCGCGCTCTCTGTCTGTCGCCGTTGTTTGTGGTCTCAACTTGTCCGTCGACCGTCGGGCTCTCGAAGATATCATCATCGTCGTCATCATCACAGACTTCCCAAAACGGATCGAAAGTAAACAAAAAAGATCTTGATTATGTCATCAATCACGTGGATTGAATCTTGGTGACATAATCTGCTGATGTAATGCAGACTGTTCGAGATCGCAATAACAACACCGCATTAAGGGGGGCGGCGGACCAGCAGCGACGACGGCAACTTGACGGTGTATAGTGAAGAGACTCGACCAAGGGGCAGAGCTGTTTTCCTGTCTGGTTGTTGCTGCTGCTGCTGCGGGCGTGCGGCCTGGGTCAGTTGTGCTATGTAAGCGCCGTCATTTAAATAACTAACTAACTAGTTAGTTACCTGCGACCCCAAGCTAACTGTTAATCTCCGCGCCGTTGAAGAAGACATCTCGCCTCCCGAACTCCTCCCTCTCCCTTAGTTACTTGCTCCGGTGAAGTAAATTGTGCGCCTTAAGTGATCGGCAGCTCGAGCCATTGGACCAGACCACAGATTCCTACCGCCATGGCTGGTCGTTTTGTGCGTTCGTCGAAATATCGTACGTCTCTGAACCCCCTCGTTTGGCTATCTATCGTGTGCTCCCTCTATCCTCGATGCACGGTGACTGACACAGCCGCATTTTGACAACAGGACACATCTTCGGCCGTTCCACACGAAAGGTACTTCCATAGACGTCCAAAAGTCTGCCCGATAATCTGACTTCCCGAGTTTCGTTTGCCCTGTACTCATTCCAGCTGGGCACACTAGGACCAATGCTATGATAGCCTTCGAGTCTCTACCAATGCTTGGGATACCAACCTGCTAAAGGTCAGTGATATCTGCTCTGCAGCTCCACAAAGGATTTTGGGGTGAAGTGGATGGCTAATGGTATCGCAGGTCAACCCCGAATATCTCTCCGTCAACTGGGAGACTGCGGGCGGTGGAGCTTTCGCCGTTATTCCCCTCCGTGAGAAGGGCAGACTCCCTGAACGTATTCCGCTCTTCCGTGGGCACACCTCAGTAGTCCTCGACACAGACTGGTCAGCAATCCTCACAATGGCAGTGAGAGGCGAGAACCGGCTAACCTTTGCCACAGGAACCCGTTCAACGATTCTCTGATTGCTTCGGGAGCTGATGACGGAAAGGCAAGTGATAACTACCTTCTTCGTCTTTAATCTACTAGTACTATATCTTACGGGTAATGCTGTAGGTATTCCTTTGGAGAGTGCCCGAGGGATTTACTCTGTACACAGATGCAGAAGAGATCCAAGACATTGCTCCAGTCGGCAGACTTCCAGGTCATCCTAAGTAAGCGTACTCTTTTTAGTAGGCTCCCTATTCCCTGGCAGTCACGCAAGCTAACTTGGACACTAGGAAAGTTGGCCATGTTTTGTTCAATCCTGCTGCCGAGAACGTCCTTGCTTCCTCTTCCGGAGACTTTACCGTAAAGATCTGGGACATCGAAGCCGGTGCATCTAAACTCACTCTCAACGTCAATGAAGTAATACAGTCCATGTCATGGAGTGCGAACGGCTCCTTGCTTGTCACAACCTCCCGTGACAAGAAACTGCGCATTTGGGACGTTCGGCAAGAGAAGCCAGTACATGAAGGTGCCGGTCACCCTGGTGCTAAGAACAGTCGAGCCGTCTGGATGGGTGAGCATGACCGTATTGCAACAACTGGTTTCTCCAAGATGAGCGATAGACAAATGGCTCTATGGGATGTTCGAGCTGCCAGGGAGCCTATCAATGGCTTCAAAGTTCTAGATTCCATCTCTGGCGTCTGCATGCCATTCTGGGATCAGGGTACCCAGTGTCTATACCTTGCAGGAAAGGGGTATGCCTAAGCTCTCACTATTCACGCAATTCGGTACTAACGACCTCTTGATAGAGATGGAAACATTCGATACTTCGAGTACCAAAACGACAAATTTGAATTCTTAGCCGAGTACAAATCTGGCGATCCACAGCGCGGTGTAGCATTTATGCCGAAGCGAGGCGTCAACATGCACGAGAATGAGGTCGTAAGGGCTTATAAGACTGTTAATGACTCATACATCGAGCCTATTTCCTTCATTGTTCCCCGCCGTGCAGAGGTGTTCCAGGATGACATCTACCCACCGACTACTGGCATCAGCCCTGCCATGTCTTCCAGCGAATGGTTTGCAGGCAAGGAAGCACTTCCTCCCAAGATTGATATGGCTAAACTATACGAAGGAGGAGTCATGAAAGAGCTTCCAGCGGATGCAGTGGCTTCTACAAACCAGCCCGAAGTTAAGGCACCGGAGCCGGCCAAACAGGCAGAACCAGCCCCAAGACCAACACCAGAACCCGCACCCGCACCAGCTGCTACTGTAATCACCCCGCGCGCCGGTATGAAAGAACAAGGCGCCTCCATGGCTGCGGCCGCATCAAAGTATATGGATAATGATGAGGATGAGGAGGAGGAGACTGGTGGCAGCTCGAGCTTCGACGCGGCAAAGTCCCAACCTCAAAAAGTGCCCTCCATCTCCGTTTCCCCAGCACAGGCTGAGGCTTCTCAGCCATCTAAGGAGGAGCCAAAGGTGTGTAATCACATTGACGGAAATTTATATGCATATATTAGAACTACAGCTAACCTTCTTAGGAGTCAAAACCCACTCCAAAACCGACAGCCACAGCCACTTCGGCTCCAGCTAGCAAGGGTACCGACTCTATCTCTTCGGAGTCATCGCTAGTCAAAGAGATTGAGGCCATCAAAGAGGTGCTAACTGAACAAACCCGCACCATCACCTCTCAGGCTGAGGAGCTCAAAGCCCTGAAATCTGAAGTTGCCAGCCTCAAATCGAAACTCGGATAGGGTAGTGCTTAATCTGATGTCGCCCCCGTTGACTTATTTATTCATTGATGCATGCATTGGATAAAAAGATATACATTCTCCTCCACCGTCTTGTTATTTAGCTTTTGCAAACCTGTCCATAAATACAACCTAGCATTATTATCATGTCCGCCCGCATGCATATATATATATACATATACATTGCCCTTGGATGTGATCTTACCCCGTTTCACCATAGAAAGAACTTGTGCCGTTGATGCGTGCCTGCAAATAGCTCTGGCTTTCCGGTCCACTTCAACTATAATTGCTCCACCACAGCCATGATAGCTGAAAAGCTACCTCCATATTGAGCAAATTGTTCCACATGAGTGAAATATTGTAACCAGGGATATCGATATACACACATGATAATTGACTGTCTGTCTATTTATAGCTTTAAGCCTCAAGTGACGTCAGCGGTAAGTGACCCCTTAATTTTACAACAGCATAGCAATTAACATAAACAGTTAAATTTGAAGAAACAAACGAGCAAAGCCCCTGCAAAGTGTTACATTGACTAGTAGATGAGATACAGGCAAGATCTATCTATGACCACATAACCAACGAGGGTTTCCGGTCCTCTTTTTGAACACACTGGAAGTAGCGATCATACAGACTCGAGTAGAATTATCAGATGTATATTCGTCTGTATATCCTGTTCAAGACCATCGAACAGCTTCACGCTCCCGTTCGTGGTCACCCAGTTCATCTTCGTATTTGTAACTCAGCTTCCTGCCCAGGAGGTTACGGTCAAGTTTGGAATTACCATCACGACGACGGCCGCCTCCCTTGCCATCACGGTCTGCATTGACAGCTTCTCGTCGCTGCTGTTCCTTCAACAGACGCTCTCTGTTTCGAGCCTCTCGTTCAAGCGTATGCGGATCCTTTTCAACAGTGGCACCGTTTTTCGACGCATGGCCGCTTGGTCGAGACTTATCCGTAGCTTTGGTTTCCTGGGCTTTACCTGCCTGCTCATTGTTATCTTCATGCCGGGGCCGCCTAGAGCGACGGTCATTGTATTCCTCATCGTCGCGAGACTCAGAGTAATCTCGACGGGACCTCTTACGGTCACGACGATCTCTATCTCTGTCCCTGTCCCGCTCCCTATCTCTCTCCCTATCACGGTCCCTATCACGCTCACGCTCACGCTCCCGGTCCCGGTGGCGGTCACGGCCTTTATCTCTCTGTCTGTGGCGATCTTCCCCTACGCCATCAACATCTTCGCGAGATCTATGCTTATCGCGTCGATTTGACGAGCTCCCCTTTATAGACAGGCCAGGGTCGCTTTTATCAGAAGCATCGACAGCTCTGCCATCTCGTCTGCTTGGGCTGCGACTACGGCGCCGACGAGACCGCTTGGAAGAGCTATCATCGCGATCTCTGTCTCTCTCACGATCACGTCTACGGTAAGATGACGATTTAGTGTCTCCAGGGGAAAGAGAGCGAGATCTAGACGTTGGACGTTTATCGTCGTTCACATCGGCTTCCCTGTCGTTGTCATCCCGACGAGCACGCTTA